ATTGCGGCCGCTAATAAAACGAGGAAACCTGGTCGACGACCTTAATGCAAATGTAATTATAATGCAGAAAAATGCGTATTGATAATATGAATCACATTGATCCTATTCTTGTCTACATGAAATCCAAGATCGCTCCGGATCTATATATGTGCCTACTATCGATTTAATATTATATTAACTTATAATTATGATAGAAATTAAAAATCATTTGCGAGTACTTTATCCCACTGCCATGATAATGGATTTACATTTTCGAAGTACGACGCGTACGAATCCCGCACTTTAACTGCTTCAATATTTCGAGTTATGTTTCTTCTATTGATATCTACTAATCCTCTAGAAATTATCTCACGATTTGTAGAATTAAGAGTTTGATAGCGTTTTTCTCGCAATGGCAAATGTTCTTCCGAAGTAATAATAAAATTATGCAAAGCTACCGCAGCTTGGACAATTTTTTGGACAGTTGACGTACATGCAATAATCGGCCTACGAAAAATTCTCCAACGTGCAGCTAATATTCCAAACGCACTTTCAACGACTCTTCTCGCGCGACTAAGTCTATAATTAAAAATTTTCTTTGTTATATTCAAATTTCCACTTCGAGGGTACGGCCTCATCATGAAAGTCGTGAGTGGAAACGCTTCGTCTGCAACAAAGACGAAGGGAAATTCTTTGGTACTGTTATCGAGCTGTACAGCTGGTGGTATTTTTAATTTATTGTTTTCTAATAGATTCATCAACCCGCTGTTGGTGAGAACTCCTGAATCACCTTGCCTTCCCGGAGCTCCGATGTCTACAATTATGAAACGATACTTAGCGTCACTAACGGCTAGCAAGTTGATGCTATGATTTCCTTTGTAATTGTAGAAGCACGAGCCACTATTAGCTGGCGCCTGAAATTATAAACAATAGAAGCAAAAATAATTATTTTACATATTTATCAATGATACGGTCCACCACAATTACACTTTGTGGTGTAATTACACTTTGTTCCCAAAATTGTAAGAAAATGTTCCTTTCGCTATAGAAATCTATCTTTTAATGAGCGGTAGTAATTAATGAGTTAATTTTGCGGTTTTAATTAATGAATGGTAGTATACATATACGTATAATTAAAGGAAGACATATATCATTTTCTTACCTGTATTATAATGTGTTTGCCGTCTATTGCTCCAATGCAATGTGGAAAGTTCCAGTACTTGTTGAAATCTTCACTGATTGTCTGCCAATTAGTTGCATTAGGTTGCAAAAAAACTTCTTCTTTTAAGGTGGTCCATATTACTTTACATGTCTCTGCTATTATTTTGGAAACTGTATTATGACCGATTCTAAATGCATATGAAATTGATGACATACTGTCTCCAGATGCTAAATAGCGTAAAGTAATTTCCAATCGAGTACGAGGAGGTATTGGTTCCCTGATACATTCTTGTTTTGTAATATGTGGTCCAACCAATGCTAACAGTCTTTGAATTGTTTCAGATGACATTCTAAAGTAATTGAAATACTTGTCTGCATCATTCAATTGCATCTCTCGTACCAAGTTGTTACTTGCTCCTTGCAATCGTCTTCTTTCTGGTCGAAATATCGGTCGCATCCAGCATTTGCGCTTCCGTTTTTTATCATTTTCCAGTCTCTTCAATTTTAAATAAATTGTAAACATTCGAATCACTTTATTGTATATTACTTTTCTTTGATTAAATGAAAAAGCCACTGAATTTTTCAAAATTTGCATTATCACTAATAACATATACGAATGATTCATTATGATATTCTATTTTCAAAATTGTTAAGCAAATTAATCAAACACTATTTATAAATTAAAGAGATTATGGCACGTTCTTTGTATACGTTGGAGACTCGGAGTATTATTGCGTTGCGTGCTTACATACTCCTTATGTCCCATGGAGCCGCAAAATGCGGACGTTAAATGGTAATATTTTTTATTTAACAAGTTATATTGATTATTTTAAATTTATTTCATAAGAAAACTGCAGAATATGTCTTGATTATAACAAAAACTTTACTTAAACCGTCAAATTTAGTCAAATAGATAAAATTAGAAAAAGCATTACTAGTAAAAACTGGTAACTTTTACGGAATTACGGCTCCATGGGACATGAGACTGAAAGCGATCGGACCAACGGTTACTGAGATACACTCACTAAAAGAATTGTTGATCTTCTGCAATATGTTGCTATATATTGCAAACCGTTGGTCCAGTAGCTTTTGCTTCTAATAATTTTCGATAGAGCTCATCGAGAACTATAAGAAGCGCCACTCAGAACTATTTGGACTTTCAAAAAATTATCCGATGTGTTACTTGAAAAGAGTAATTAGATCATTAATTTTTTGAGAGTACTGAGCAGTTGTGGTCGGAGTCCTGGATAATTCTCGACTAGTTCTGTCGAAAACTATTAGGTGCAAAAGCGATTAGACCAACTGTTTGCAAGATATAGCGCCATTTGTCAGAGGATCAACAATTCTTAGAGTGTAGGTATCTCCGAAATCTTTGGTCCAATCACTTTGGACCTGATACTTTTCGACGGAAATCCACGACAATTATAGGAAACTCTACTCAGAGCTACTGGATCTCTCAATAAATTTTCGGTTTGTTTCATTGAAGATGTTTTTAGGTTAATAATTTTTTGAGAGTACTGAGTAATTCTTGTCGGAGTTCTGCATAGTTCTCGAGGAGTCCCGTCGAAATGTATGACGGCTCAAAGCGATCGGACCAACGGTTTCTGAGATACACTACTCTAAGTATTGTTGTTCTTTTGACAAATGTTGCTATATCTTGTAAACCGTTGGTCTAATCGCTTTTGCACGTAATAGTTTTCGACAGAATTCGTCGATAACTATCCAGAAGTCCGACCACAACTGCCCAGTACTCTCAAAAAATTTTTGATCAAATATTTTTTCCAAGTCACACATCGGATAATTCTTTGACAATCCCAGTAGTTCTGAGTAGCGATTCTTATAGTTCTCGATGAGCTCTATCGAAAATTATTAAATGCAAAAGCGACTGGACCAACGGTTTGCAATATATAGCAACATATTGCAGATCAACAATTTTTATAGTGAGTGTATCTCAATAACCGTTGGTACGATCGCTTTCAGTCATCATACATTTCAACGGTACTCATGGAGAACTATGCAGAAAACCGAAAAAAATTACTCAGTAATCTCAAAAAGTTATTGACCTAAATATATTTTCATGAATAACACAGGAAAAATTTCCGAGAGATCCAGCCACTGATATGTATATATGGATAGCGAACGCCCTATACCAGCAATGCTAAATTTTTGTGCGGAATAGAAGGACCGCCATGTTGACTCAGGTGTGTCATTTGAGAAGTGGGGGGGAGTGGGGAATGAAGGATAGCGGTTCCGCGGGAGCTTTGAAATCAGTATAAACATAAC